TATAATTAAGGAAAATGGTATTGAGCAATATAAGAGACAAAACCTCTCAGGATTTATCCCCATAGAAAATGTGTTTAGAATTCTTTTTTTTTTTTTAAAAACAAACAGAACATCCTACTTCAATTTTTCCAATTTGAGCAGTATGTATACCAAATTAGAACTTGTTTATCTTTTTTGGTAAATAAAGGAAAAAATTAAAATTCTTACAAAAACTTACTGTTTATCAAGAATATTCTCAAGGAAGTATAAAAGTAATAATTTTGTTTGATCGATTGCACATATAACGCGTTGATAGAGTGATGCGTTGAAAAGTATTAAAAGTATTAACCAACAGCTTCGGAAGATCAATTAAATAATGAAACATTGTTTATAGAAATGAAATACCCGCAGTATTGAATCGTTTGTTTTCTAGTTATTGGAGGTAACAGGTTAGAGTTATTTTGCAAGTGTACTTGAACAAGGGTCGATTTTTGTGAAACTTATAAGCCATTCAAGTACACAGAATATGTTTTAGAACGTTTTCGACCTACTTGGTTTACCTAAACAGAGGATCAGGAAACAAATACAATACGATACAACCGTAGTATCATAGGTAACGGATGTTAGAACCTAACACGGTGATTGTGCACTGATAACAGTAATTCTACTTTTAAGATCGCTCCTTAGGGAATGACGTTTTCGTCGAGGCCAGGACATTTTTGATCAGTCGACATGGCGGTCGTGTGTTTTCAATTTGTTCCGCTAGAAAACCTCGGTTGTACACTCGGCTCTTGCGGATTAAGCGAATTGCTCACCGCTCCGTGCCGCCGTTCGAGTAAAGTCGCACGACACGGACACGATAAAACGCGCGGATGGCAAGATAACAAGGGTGGCGTAAAACGTGCTCCGTCCGGCAGTGTCTCGGCCTGTTTTCGGCCGTCTGGAATGCTTCCGTGCAGTCGGAAACGAGATACCGCCACCGCTTTTGGCCGAATTAAATGTAATGCCATGCGGCGGAGGAGGTCCATGCGAAAAGTTTTTCGCTTTTCAGAGGCTATTAGTTACGCGACGGCGGTGGTGGTGGTGGTCGACGAGGGGACAGCGCGCAAAGAACGATTGAGAAAAGAAAGATATGATAAGGACGAGGGACGGGGAAAGAGAGGGGAAGAAAAAAAAAAGGATCTTTATAATAACACACTAGGCTGATTAAAAACCGGCACGAGTGCGGTGGCGAGGGAAAGGGGAGGGGCGCTTAGGTGCGCGGGCGAGAGAAAGGAATGGTAAGAAGAGAAAACAATAATGAACGATGGTCACGGGAGATAGAGACGGAGAAAAATGAAACGGAAGTGTATTCAATTACCCTACCGCCTTAAGCCCCGTGGCCACATTTTAGTTTTTATTTATACCGCGAACGAGGTTCATTTTCGGAATATTGTACAACGAGAGAGGAGCCCTCGGCTAGCAATGTGACCGGAAATTAATATTTTTTAATTCGGTCTGTTAAAATGTAAAGTGGAGCGCGTGAATAATAAATCGGTGTTTGGTTTTCATTATGAAATTGAACCGTTCCTCTTTCCAACCTTCCCCCATCCATCACCCTCTACTGGACCAACCGTGGTTCATAATGCTGTACAACGCACTGGAACGTCGTCGCGGTCTGTCGTCAAAAATAAAACATCCGTACGGCCGATTTCCGTATTTGTCCGGGATCGTAGACCACGGTGATCGACCGATTTTCATGTTGATGAAATTAGTACACGCATATATCAATGGCGATCGTTGTCGGTTCCGACAAAACAACGGGTAGCGGATCCTTCGCCCCGGAAGCGGAAGAACCGAATCCTTATTTATCGAACGTCGTGCGGTTCATACGTGGACGAGCCTTCTAAGCCGACCGATTTCTATTTGCTCCCGGGTCAACGTTTTTAACGGTTGATATCATGGATATGATAATCCTGCGCGTGGACGTTAAATCATAGTAAGTTGCTACTTGTGTACAAACGTTACCCAGAGCACTTAAGTGATTTGAACCAATTTTTTCAACCGTCTGAAACCGAAAAACTTTTCTTTTTTTTTTTTTTCTGCCCCGGAAGATTTATCGTCAGACCACAATTTTAAGTTCACTTTCATATATTTCAAAGAGTATACTATATACACGTTATGATTTACAATATCGAAACGAATAAACTGTTTTATTATATTGTACTAGGCTCGGTGTTGCATTCATGTAGTACGTCAAAATAAAAAAAAAGATATGAAATTAGCAACCGACCGACATGGTGGCGTGTGTGTTTCTTGATTTCCCCGCCTTCGTCGCTTTAGCTTACTGTTTGCAGCGCGAAAAACCGTAATCGAAAACCTTTAACGAAATGATTTACGGATGTTCAATCGTAAATCGTATTGCTACGATCAGGTGTTTATCGTGCAAGTAGGTTGGCCTGTATAACATGGATTTATTCGTCGGCCGTCATCACGTTCGCATTGTTAAAATTCGCGTGTTAATGTAACGCGGTTTGCGCGCCCCCGGCGATCGAGCGAGGTGACTAAACGCGACATGGCGAGACGAATGGGGATTTTTTCAATCGTGAACCCGCCGCAGGAGCTTAAAGGGCGGCGGACCGTGAGCTGTGGATCACTATAAAAGTCTATCATATTGTAAAATTCTCTTTGAGTCGTCTCTTTATTTATTTTCATTTCCCCCCCCCCCGTTCGGTCCTCGCTTTGTAGTGGCGCACGTCACCCGGCACTCGTACGCGTACTTCTCTAAGACCATCTAACCAAGAAACCCGACGCGTCATCATTTCATTTGCGCACAACCCATAATATATGCATAGCCCGTGTGCCCGCCATCAATTTCCCATTACCCGAAACGATAGGGAACATCGATTTTCGACACGGAGACGCGCGAGAACGAACTACAACCATAATAGCCGGTGTATGTCGACTTGCAATACAAACCAACTGTGGATACTACCGTTTTATCACCGACCTTTCATCGGGCATCGAGAGAATCATTTTCACACGTCAGTATTCGATGTTGCTATTTTGTTTGGGGAATTTATTCAATTTAAGTTTAAGTGTACACGTGACACAAAACTATGTTTTTTTTAGATGTGTGTACGTGTGTTTAAAATAATAATAATGTACTAAAAATCTATTTGTCTGTGTTGTTGTACAACACTATAATATGTGCTGTATCCGTTAGGTTTTCGTTATTTTATCCTTTTACGCGTACGTGATCGTCGGTCGATCGGTCCGTTTTTGATGAAAGGATTTCGTTATGCGGTACGAGACCGTATTTTCGGGACATGCCTTGTACACGTATATACCTCGTTTACACTGGGGGTTATTCGAGTAGCGCTGAATGTGACCATTTTTCGGCGTTTGAATTGTGTACATGTAACGTAGAGTATTAAAACTCCGTGTGCGCATACGAACAAAGATTACAAGAGTTGAGGAGCAAAAACCACGAGCGTTTAATCTCGGCTAAAATGGTCATGTGTTTCTGGTAACGTATGTGTTGTTCCTTTGTTGGGTTTGTCTAAAAAGTTTTGTTTTTTTTCAAATCCGAAAAAGTTCTCAAATCACCCCAAGTTTAAGAATAAAGTGCTTATATATATATATATATATATTTATATATGTATATAATATCAAAAAAAAAAAGCTACGTTAAAAAGATGAAATATATATAATCAGCAATATTCATGAAAAATATACCGATTTTGCAAACTTTGCAAGTTGACGAAAATCCATTTTAAATATCAGAAAATAAATTTTACATTATCCCCAAGTTTATTCGTTTTACTCGCTTTTAAGAATAAAATTATACTAAAGAAACAAAAAATTATATCAGATTTGAAAAAAAATTTTCATTTTTAAAATTAAACTTTTTGGATCTTTTGGTTATTGATATTGGGCGAAAAATTGTTTACAAAAGAAAAAACCAATATAAATCGTAGCTATAGTAGAAATGGAAACTAATAATACAATTAAACTTAACATGAGCCATGGAAAACTTTGGTCTATGACATAAGTTGAATCTTCTGCGTTTAAAATAATATGTACTTCAGTTAGTTCAACAATCAACCATATACAACGTAAAAACACTAAATGCGTAAACAGAAATATGTAGTTTTGTACGGATAGAACTTTGAAAGTAGACCGTATATTATAAGTGTGTTTTTAATAAATTCGATATCGCGTAGCCCTAAACTGTACACCGTTATATAAATAAATATAAAAAAAAACTAGTCCATCGGTAGAAAACAGAAGAAATCTCTATAAAAGCATTACGGTGATGTATATAGTATAAAGTGTAAAAACAAAACAAATGGTTATGCAATATAAAAATGCATTTAAATTTAATATTTTTTCAATTCGGTTGAACAAATAAAACGTATAAAATAGTTGACGCGTTATATATTAGTTTCGAAAACTGTTTAGATTCTCATTACTTCAACAATTGAAATCCGCTGATACAATATGGATTTCCCGAAATGTTTTTTTTTTTTTTTTTACATCGAATAATGTTATACGAAAATCGATTATTTCCTCCGTGAACAAGGTAGGGTAATTTTTTAATACAATTTATTCGTGTTGGTTTTATGTGTTCTGTAAACTACAGACAGTCGCATTTTGCACAAAAAATTATTTTTATATATTTTCACCGTTTTACGTCGTCTCTCCAATTTCGGTCACGTTTGTTTTGTATTTATTTTTCCCGACAAAATCAACAGATACGTGAAGGTGTTTAGGGTTTTCATCAACCACAAAAAATGCAAATGTGTTTCGTCATTCGCAGAGCACGAAACCCCGACACATATTGCGTCGGTTATTCGCATAAATTGCATTAATTTCACATTTGTCTTGGAAAATATGCAATACTCCTCTAAATGATTGTTATTACGAAATTGTTGTGCCGTTGCGCGCGTTCAGAGTCACACGATTCACATTGGTTCATAATAAAAACGTACATTGATTTGTCCACTGCGTGTTCCTAAAACGTTGATTTCGTATTTCAGTTCGGCCGTTGTCAATAAAATTAGTCGGCGAAAACCGTCCGCTGTCCGCCGAGACACCGGTGAACGTCAGTTGCCGGGTCACGGGCGCCAAACCACCGCCAGTGATCACCTGGTGGAAAGACGCCATCCAGATGACCGACGCCAAACAAATAGTAAGTAATATTTCACAGTACGTTGTAGTTCTAATCGTGCAAAAACATATCATCATGCGTTCAACGTTGCGGTTATTATACCGTGCAAACGGAAAATCACAAAATCGCCAAAGAGTTTACCGATATCAGTTCGAAAACTTTTCGGGTTATTTTTAAATTTTATTTTATATGATTTTGATGCATGCCTGGTGTACAATTGTAAACCCTATGAATGACTTACGACCATATGCAGAGCGCATAATAGCATGCTATTAATAGCTACTGGTAATAACACTAGTTATTAAATATTATTATAACAATAATTCTTGATTCTCAAAACAAATTGATTTCCCGAAACCAGACAAAACGAGTTAAGAGTATTTGGTTCCTTTGAACTCATTAAAAAAAAAAAAAAAAAACCCGACATTACACCTGCCTGGAAACGCTTTTAAATAGTGCTTCAAGGGGGTGGTTTTTTTCGTACCTAACTTAACCAAGCACTATTTACTGTTGTTCAGGAAGATCACAATTTTATCTAAGATTACCACACACCCCTATCGGTGAGAACCAGTGGCACAGTCAGGATTTATTTTCGAAGGTGAGGGATGGGAGTTGTTATTAAATTGAAAAAAAATCAATTTCGGAAGATGTTTGGTGGCGAGAGTGGGATAAGGTTAAATTAGACTTATGAATAAAATGTTGTTTAAATGTTATTTATACCTAACGGATAATGGAAAATGATTTAGACTCATATTAAATACATATTTCAAGAGGGAAGGAGGATCTCAAATTGTCCTATTAAGGCAACTAGTGATAATCACAACACAGCCAGTACCTTTATTCTAAATAGTTGTTTTTCCATGAGAGAAAATCAACGGCAGAAATGTAATTGTCGGTGTCCGTACGGTTTTCATTGAATCTATACCAACCGAGTCAAGCCTTATAGAACCACCTACAATTCTTTTGCTGATTACATATCCATTTATTTAACAGTAACACACGCATGATATTTTGATTGCATATTCAATTTTGAAAATTGTATTTTTATAAAAAACTCATAGTATCGTATTTATTTCAATTAGAACGTTGGAAACTAACAGACTAAAATATATAAGCATGTATTGAAAAACGTACAAACTCAAAAATTTGCATTTTAGTTTTATTATATGTACCATAATGTCTGATTTCTAAAAAGAATGATTGGATTAAATACTATTCTGACTAGCAGTTTCAAAACGATTATTTTTAATGTAAATCGTTAAAAATAAAATTACCATGCAATATTTGAAATGTTTATAATTCGAATGATTCAAACTTAGTTGAAATAAGTACTTAGAAAAGTTGAGAATGATTTATTTTCTTGAAATTGGATTTAAATATGAAATTAATGTTATTTTTATTTTTCCAAATATTACTTAACTTAAAAATTATTTACTTAACGACTTAACTTCGATCTTAACTTCAAATCGAGAAATCAGAAATTATCTCATTAAAAACTATAGTTTCTAAAAGAAATCTAGATAATAACGTGTACATTAGGGTAGCCGTTAAAAAAAAAAAATTATTTCTTTTTGTGACGCCCACCCATTTTTAATATCCAATATACTATAAAGAAAGAAATCAACTGTTCGATTTTAAACCGCACCCCTGAGAACTTAAAGTTTAGTAGTTTTGTCATTTTTTATGATAATCTCTCAACTTTTACTATAACTTTTTTTTTAAAACCAAAAAACATTAAACATCAAATATCTGCTAGCAAATTTTTTGACAATTTCAAAAATATTACTTTTGACATTATCACAAAACTTATTATTGACATAGTTACATTTATACAAAAAATATTTTTATATGTTTGAAAAATCTGGCCAAATAGTTTTTTATTATTTTTATTTTAGTTTATACCAGCCGAATGGATCAAAATACAATAAAATTATATATGTACAAAATTTAAATTTAAATTTAAAATTAAATTGTCAGTTAAAATGATTAAAAATAATAATTTTTTTTTTGTTTTGTCAGAATATTTTTTTCTTGATGTTTCTTTTTTGCAGTCAGGAAATATTGTCCTGTAATCACTCACAATTTGTAACATACATTTTTTTTTTGTTCCTCATCGGTGGTAAGCATTGAATTTTATTCCTCAATCAACTTTATTCCCCTCCCAGCTGTATCATTGACAGTTATCAGATTAGAGACCATTTATATTGCATTTTGAAAGCATAAGAGTTATTGGTCATCTTAAAGAAATACTGTGCCTAAGTTCAATATTTAAAAAAAAAATTTAGAGTTTTAATTGAGACGAAAAATTCAATTTTGATTTTTAAAAATTCTAGAATTTCTAATTCTTTTTAGTTTTAATGAGTTAATAGTTTAATTTTTTCATCAAAATAATGTATTTTCTTAATCAGTTTAAGCAACATTTTTTTTTTTGATTCAATGGATATACTATTATCAAAAAATGTTAATACAACTGCTTCAGGAATTAAATACCACAGATGATTTCGAAATGTACGAGTATGCAATACTACTCAAGATATATTATTATCAATTGAACTATAGTTGTGTAATTTTTGTATAAAAAGTAAATCTTGATATGGTACGGCTGCAGAAGAAATTGCTTTAAACCATGCCTGAATATAAATTATAGCTATAAATATACAAATATCTTGAAGTTGGTCTTTTTCATGAATAGTTAATTTAAATTAATTACGAAGAATATATATTTTATGACAATAAATAGCCTTTTGCTATCTACCTTGCATGGTGGAATGTACCGAGAGTACGGAAAAATATCGTATTATTTGGTTTATCACCAAGAAAAACCAATGTTAACTCAAATAATTCCTTATAGTCAAGTATTTTGTTTCGAATAATTTTGAGGTTGAACAATTTTCAAATGCTCCTTTGCAAACTCTAATACTCTCACTTTATGTATTTTAATAATTTCATTAATTACTATATCAAAAATACCTGAAGAAAAATTATCCTTGTTTAATTTATCCCAAATTTACTGAAATATTTTGAAAATGGGAGACATTCTCAGAAGGTTTATTTTAATTTTTCTTCAAAAATACTTTTTAAAATAAAATGACTGCGTTAAATAAATTTTTTTTTTTTTAAAGTCATTCTAACAATACACACGTACTACCCAATCGACCACTATTAACTGTAGTTGTATTAAATAATATATCTTTAACTGAATTTTGAATATCCCATTCAATTAAAGTTTTGTAAATAACTTCTTCCTGGTCTTCTTCTTTTTGGTTTCCTTCTCATTTGCTATTGCATTTTGTAAAACAGAAATATTAAGAATGTCTTCTGTAGTACCACTAGGAAATACTATGAATAGCCTATCAATAATATCTTTTCCAACCAAATTAGGTAGTAACTTGCCGTCCCAATATAGAACAACAGTGTCGAGATCACTCTCTTGAAATTTATCTTTGATATAACTAGCACTCTCTTTACCCAAAATCTGTCGAAAACGTTTAATTGATGTCCTATCAATAACAAAATCCCCTTCGTTCTTTTCTAAAGCTTCTACCACGACCATAATGATATAAATCGCTCCCTATCACTTTACAGTTGTATAATGCTAATAATATTCTTATGTCCTCTCATTCGGTTAAATGATTTAGACCCAACATATATTTTCTTATGGTTCAATTTTACGACTCTTATATTAAAAAAAAAAAAGTCATAAATATTTGTAAATTTTACGGTAATTTACTTTCTGTTATTTTATTTGAATTTTCATTGATTAAATACATCTTTTTCCGTAAAAATTTAGAAGACAGTGTTTAACGGAAAAAATTTTCGAGAGCATATAACACAATGAAACGTAAGTACAAAACAACAAACTAAACTTAACCGAAGAACACTATACATTATATGACATAAAAAGGAACGATATTATTGAATATGGTTATGGATTTTATAATCGTATCTTTATGAAATTTATCATCAACATAGTAGTTGAATGAAGTCGATAACGTAATAATCTAATATTAATATGGTTGATTAATTTCGATAAAAGCACAATGTATATTAAAATTATTAATACATTTATCCGTACATTCCATCCTATATAAATGTATGTTTTAGAAAATTATTTTTAAGCATTATAGTAAAAAATATAATTTAAAATAATTTTGTCCATATGTAATTTTGTTGTATTTTGAACCGTTCTATTGATATTAACAAAAATAACTGTTTGGCCAGATTTTTTGAGCAATTACTTATTTTTTGTAAAAAGAAATGTATAGACATAAGAAATGTCCCCGGGGTGCGGCTTAAAATTGGACATTTGATTTCGAACATTGCAGTTAATATTACATTGAGTCTTAAAATATAATTTGTGATTGCCGCAAACTGTACAGTAAAAAAAAAAAAATTACAAGAATAAGTTAAGGGATACCCTAGTGTACATGCAGTATCTATTATTTTCTCAATTAATTATTATAAGTATCCATATGATAAATATATATATTTTTTAAACAACGTTAAATTCATCATGATACGAAGATAAAACAAACATTTAGGAATATGCCTCTTCCAGGATCAAATACTTCTCCCTTTTATTGCTTGCGAAAAGTGAATCGTAGAAATATTTGAACACAGGGCATAGTAATTTAAAGATTTGTTGGCTCTGCACACGACAGAACATGATACATTTACAAATTACACTTGAGTCATAAATTTCGTTAACTATTATTATAAAAAAAAATTAAAAAAAAATTAACAGAGTATTTATACTATTTACATGGAAAAAATTCAAATTGTTTAATGCAAGGAACACTTTTTAATAAAAATTTAATTTGTGCGACAATGAATAAATGTTTCCGAGAGTTTTTAGGCTGGTCATTTCTCAGAATCTCACATGATACTTTTATTTTAACAGAACTGGAATAAAAATGGAAATAAAAAAATCAGATGGGCGTCACACGTTTATTTAATTTTTTTTAATTTTTCACCTCACAAATTACATTGTTTCAGTGATATGATTACCTCAGATTAGGACG